AGAGAGGAAGACTCTATCATGCCATGTATTTCGAATGAGATTAGAAACATTCTCATTATGATGACCAGGGTAAGACAACTTACAGCTGCCCCTATCACAAAAAGAGAAACGAAAATTAAATTTTGTGATATACCGCGTAAAAAAAGTTATGAATAAATTTTTTATTTTACGATCGAGTGACCTCAATATGATGAATAAAATCGATAGAATTTATGCAAGCGAATTATACGGTACGTCCATAATTGCAACGTAAAATTAACTGAAACTAAATATTGTGGAGGTATGATAGCTCTCAAACTTGTCAGAAATTGATGTATCTATCATATGGTTCAGAACAATTAAATATAAATTGTTTTCAAATATTTTTCATTAAAAAATGAGTCTCATTGCATTTTAGTTACAATTTTAGAAAAGAAATTTAATTATTCAATTAAAAGTTGTGAAATTTCATGCACATTGACCATTTTCAGCAAATGATGGCTATAAGCCCGTAAATTCATAATTTACTCAACTGTGCCTATATAATTCTCCATTTTAATCATTGTCAAGAAATATTTATGCAGGCTGGAAGTGTAATCAATGATATTTACCTACTCCAGCGCTAATACTGTAAGTAATCTTACAAAGAAGATCTGAAGGATCTCATCTTAGGAAATTTGTTATCACGTTAGTTTGAAGCTTCCCTCGACTCCGTTGCAAGCGTTCTAGTGTTTTAGAAACTTTCTTATTTTATGTTTTCCTTGCTAACCTGGCTTACCTGCTACTATAACGAACATAACCTCGTAAGGGACGCTGGGTTACTCTGCTAGCTATACTATTTAGCTATACATATAGTTTTGCTCATTATGCGATTGCGCGTTGGACGATTATTCATTCCTTTAACATTATAAATGAAAAAAGTTGTACAAACATTTAATTAAGATTAATATATTGAAGCTCTTTGATAGAAGTCACTTTATTTCCTAACCTCAATAGACGTGTAATTTTTTTTGTTTTGGTTTGTGTTTACTTCAAACAAAATTCAACGCCATGAGTAAGCAAATTATCGAATAATATCAAAGTAATTAATTTCTTCACGTGCATAATTTGTCTTTAGTTTTCAACGTTAAAATCGAAGACCGCTCACTTCTGAGTAAATAAACGTGCTTAGGTTATTCTTCTTGACATGAATCTAACGGACTGGAATTATAATCACCAATCGAATGATAATAGTAGATATAAATCTGTCAATTATTGGTGCGTTTAATTTTATGTGCCCCATATTATCGTTTCGATTTGCAGCTATTTTTCGATGTACTTGAATTGCTCAAGTTCTCCATGGTCGATAAAGAAATTTCTGAATCATTGCATTACGATGAGAGAGTGACCGTAGCCGGACATATTTGTGCTCACTGAGCTCGGAAAGAGGCGTTTAGAAGGCAAGTGTCGTACGAGTTCGTCGTTATGTTGTAGAGTTTATAGCACCGCGGTCACGGCAGCCCGCCCAAACTAAGCACTACTCGCAGCAATCGTCTCCTCCTAGTTCAACATTGCAAAAGAGATGTCGACAGAGGCCGACAAATTAGCCTTCATGGCTTCAGCTGCGCTATAACATGAGACTCCTGCCGCCTCGAAGAGTTTAATAATGGAGATACAGATTACTTTTTCTTTTTTCGAATTTTTTTGAATTGAGGTATATTAAACACAAATACAAACCATAAATAATTCTATCAGACAATTATTTGATGCGTAAGTTTTCATCTTAAAGCTGACCAATGGCACTCAAATTGAGCATGCTTTTCAGTTATTTAATTATAAAAAGCTAAGACAATTAACCGATGTGTATGACATGCTGTGAGTCACGGAAGCATTTTCCGGACTAAGTTCTAATACCTGCAAGTCTGATCAATCAGTCCTTGCAGGTCTCTGAAAGCTCTTCAACCCATTGTCCACGCGGAGATTGAATATCACTTCAGTCAGTCACGTTACGATTCTTCTACAAACAATTTTTTGATGGTAGATAATTGCAGCTGGCAGCAGGACCATAATTCTAAGCTGGTCCCTCTAGTCTAGATAGAACAGAGCTGTTTTCAGCTGGAAGCGGCTCGCGCATAGAGCGTTGGTTGCGTCAAGACTACCAATGCAAAAATGGCTCGCAATACTTAGAGTCTAGGTGCGGTTAGTTATGTAGTGCATGCTGTGGATACAAGATGCAACGCTACATTACAATTCATGACAAGTGAGAAGATTAGATGTGAACTTAGTGAAATCAGATAATTCGCACACCGAGGAGCTAGTAAAATCGACCCTTCCATATAAGCTTTCATTTGGATTCAGAAGTTGGGGGCGTTCCTCTTAGCGAATTATTTAGAATTTAATTTTCAAAATATTACTTGGTTCTGATTAATATGCTTCAGTCCGACCAGCTCGCTGACGAAATTGAATTGAAATGTGTCGTCAATGAAGCAAGGTTTTGCATTTTTCATGAGACATTGATTACTTTAATGACCGCAAAACTGGCCTGGCCAAATTGATAAAACATGAAGAATTACATATTAAAATGGAGTTACTTAAGCGAAGCAAGATCTTGATACTAATGAAATTTTTAAGTTATCGCAATAATAATGACGCAGATAAATTTCCTTATTACCTTATATAATTGCTCAATTTTTTTATCAACAATGTGGATTGAGATTTTCTCCTACATTCTAGTAAAATTGGGAAGCTAATATATAATTTCTTAAGGCAAGGGTACTTACCCCAAAAATATATAAACATTTTCGCTTTGTTGCATTCCCTAGCTTTGAAAAATACGCTTATAACGTAGCAAACCGTATGCATGCGCGTGCTTCAGTTTGTGCATGAGGCAGTTTCTAATTTGTATAAAGTAAATACTTCCTTACAATCGGTAAAGAGATTTATATATTAAAAAATTATATTCATAGATTATTATTGGCCTTAAACTAAACAACAATAAATCATGCGGAGCTTGGTACCCTCAATGAGAGCAATTGGCTTTGGGAAGCAAGAGATGAAGAACCAAGCAATATTTTGCATTCATTTATTTTTTTACCCGATTCAGTTGTATGCCTCTCCGGAAAAATTGAAACTTCCACAGTTTGCGCCATTATAAAAAAGTTATCCTCACCTTTCATTTTTGATCTACAACATAGAGAGGCAAATCTTTCGATCTGCAAATCGAATATCTAGCTACTCTATGGAAGCCTTTCTTCTGATTTATTTATTGCTTGGATTGTGTATTGTAAAAACTGAGGAAAATTCAGAGGAATGGGGTTGCAAATGGAAAAGTTCTCTAAAAAACCGAAATTAGAAAAAAATTCTCGAGTCCCCAGTTATAAACTCTAAAAATCGCATGATACGTTTCTCGATGTTGTCTCTCGTGAATGAAAAATAGAAATATATTTTGAAAAGTTCCCTTTTTCCAATTTCTTTACATTCCACGTTTTCGTTTATTTTATAAGAAAATTCATAGCAATAAAATGTGGTAGAAAGTATTAAGGTTTCACATTAGTGGATGAAGTTCCAAAAAGATCGGTCAGTTACTGCATGCAGAAGTTTTTTAGGTTAGATAGCCTCTTAATGTTTAATCAAATTGGACAGTTTAGAAAATGTTCTGATAAGCTTACAAATATTACGATCATCTTATGAGCTAAAATGAAAAAGGCATTTCAAACTTTAATGCATATTATATCATGTAGCTATACGATACGTTACCGTAGGTAAGGCAATTATTGTGCCTTTTCCATATTACTGATCCAAGTGGTGTAGGTTTCCTTGTTGTGTCCAAAAAGTGTCGTGCATCTAAAGGTAAACTTCCCTTCCAAACATCCACAGAAAAAGCAATCAGGAATTTTAACTAAGTTGCTGATTGCAGATCCGGAGATGGAAGTGGCAAGGCCACGTAAACAAACCACGAGTTGAACTTAACATGTTACAATTAGTTTTGTGAATGAAATTGTTGCTCTCGCTTCATGAACTGCGGCTCAGTTCTGCTATAAAAGTATATATATTGTAATACACTGTAATATTGTAATACATTGATACACTGAAATGACTCATAAAAATATTCTTGAATAATAATCTAACCATTCAAGATTCCGCAAACTCTCATCAATTATCTGAGTTATCTCCCATATTACCTCTAACAGTTAGGTCCAAAAAAATAGTTCCTGTAATATCCTTGAAGATGTGATGACATACCCACCTGTTATTTTAAGTATGGGAAGGTGACGTTCAATTCAATTCAACCAGTGAGGCGAACCCACACGTCATTCATGATTGGATTTATTACAAAGTATTTATTTATGCAACCTGTGCAGACCTGGCATTTTTTAATTTGTTTCTTCGAGTACTTGAGTTTATATCACTCCTAACCTTCAGATCTCCTTCAAACAACGATTTATTTCAGCTTATACAGTTTTATTCATCTATTTGTTTTTACAGACATACCTTACTTATGGCCAAAGCTACTAATAAATGCAAAATTAGGTATTCGTCCACTTCGAATTTACACTAGTGACTAGATGAACACTATTTTTATCTATCGGATAATAGTTTCAACCAGCTGCCAATTTTGCACCAAATACTTGAATGAAGGAGATTTCCTACAGAAAAACCCTCCATCTCCCATTACTTTCCTAAATGCTTACTAGTTTCACAAAATTATTCTAATATGAAGATTACCTAATATGACACTTTTTAGATCATTACTCTCATTACTGCATTTTGATTGGGTATGTGTTTTCAGCATGAAACAGAAATCAATTGATGACACCTAAGACGGTTTACTCCGTCAATCACGAATACCTTTTGTATTCCTGTTCTTTGACCTCTGTTGTCAGTCTTCTTCATTTTATCTACTCCGCCCTCCTTCCAAATCCATTTTTCACTCCGTTTTATTCATCCAGTCTCTGCTTCGTCTCGAGTTGTCTGGTTGCTGCGCGAGATGCGTGCGTCGTGTGCAACTTCATTGCGGTTAGTCGCTTTCTGTGAGCCGCTGTGGGTGGAGGTGCGGTGTCGCGAGTGCTGTGCAAAACCTGCCTTCAAAGTGCCAAACCATCTAATTTCAGTGAATTTTAGCTCATAATATATGTGCTTAGGATGTTACTGTGATAATTCCTGGGTGTAATGATGCTTACTAAGAATTTAGAGGTAAGTTATAATTATGTTGAGATAATTTTTATCTCACTTCAGTGGGAGATGAACTTGCCTGAGTCAAGTTTTGTGCCACAAAAAATAACAGTTTGGTATTTGGATTTTTTTGTTTGGATATTTTTGGTGATTGTTGAAAGATGTTGGCTATCGTACGCGCTGGTTGACTAAGGGTTCCTTGTGTTTCTTAACGGAAATTACGTTTTTGGGTCCTTGCTCGGGATGGATGTCGGGCGACGGACCGTCGAGGAGAAAAAGGCTTTGGAGAAGAGAAGAAGGCAGTCGACCCGCGTCAGCGCCTGCGGGCACCACCACAGAAAATAGCCTTTATATTCACTATTTCTCTCGCTCCTCTCCTCTATCACATCGCGCGCACCTCCCGCCTTTTAAAATCTCTGTTGAAAATAAGTAAATTGCGTGCCCGGATCTTACGTGCGTACCTTGTCTGGTCATTAATGAGTTTAGTCACATGGAATGGATAACCAATTTCAATGTTGCTGAGCGAGCCGTCTACTCGGTGCCTGAACGTGCTTGTTCGACTCGAATTACATTTATTTTTGCTCATCTTGAACATTTTGGTTGGATACGAAGCTTTGCTAGTTACGAGGTGTTTCTTATAGTTCATGGTAAAGGCATGTATTCGTGTATGAACTTCATGTGCGTTTCGGTTAAATTTTAAATTTCGCTGAATTAGCCTAATTTCAGTTTGCATTTGTTGGTTCCGACAATTTGCTCCATACTATATTTTTAATTAAACATCTTTCAATTACCGAATTGAACGCAGGGCTAGAATGGCACTTTAGACGAAGACTCATTGGATGCGTTTTCGGTTTTCTTGGTAATTGCAAACACAAAAACAGAATAGAACAAATTGCAATTGTATTTGTATTTTAATAACTGTTATCATTGTTAAGTGCATTCATGGCTGCTTGATGAGTCAAGGGTTCTGTCGTATCACGTCTGTAATAATGTAATTCATCTCAAGTTATATTAGAGGTGGAGTCGTAAATATAATTAATTCAATTAGGCCTATTTTAATATTATATAGAAAATTTACAGCTCTTACTCCGAATATAGAGGTTATTGGATGGGATATGATTTTACAATGTATCTCGTATATTCTGTTCATGAACAAATGAATTAAGGTGGACAAACTTATCTGTAATGAAAAGTCGTGAAACTGTTGGCGATCCTGTTTTTGTATTTCTTCTCTCTTTTTATCTTAATTCATATCAGAAGTAGACTTTAGGTTTTCTTTTTGAATGTTCGTTAATAATAGTTTTTATTTATTTATCCTGATGGAGTTTTTCTTTCACATGTGTCGAACACTATCACTGTAGTGAACAAAAGTAAATGGTTTTTATGGACAGTGTATTTGAATTTGAGGCGTGCAGAAGTTTTTGCAAAACATTAATCACCTAAAGCCTCTAATTAGTACCTTTGCCTAAAATTCATTTCCATCCGTGATATCTTGGGATGAATATTATAGTTTAAAACGAATACATTTCTCACTGGATTAGCTATAGCCTACTTCTTCAGAATGAGAATAAATATATTATAATAAATGGAAGGCACTATGATCTGCCTCTGTAAAATTAATAAATGGGCGGTGAAGTAGGTATATTATGCTGTCATCGCTGAAAAACATGTAAGCAGAAATATATTATTTAAAGAATAACGGTGCCTGATACTCTTTGAGACATCAATAAATTTTATTCGTTCACAGTCGAGTCTAATCGTACCTGGTGTCCAAGATTATTTTTTAGCTCCGCAACGATAGATTATATCTTTACATTTTTCAACGATATTTTTTTGCTAAAGCTCATGAGCGTTCACTATGATCTGACACGCTGATGATACGTTCACTACTTATTATCTTCAATGTTAACTGCAGCTCAAACTATCACCGTGGATTTTTTTTAGCTGCAAAGATAGCGGCGATGGGATTAGGGTTTCACGTCAAGGGAGCGATTGCGGTCAAGTATTCTCATAAATACCTTGAGATCTTTGGCTGTGGTCGTACGGGTGTATTGAGGTGGTCAACGAAACGCCTTCGGTCACGCCGTGTGTTGGACCATCGCGGTAAAACCTTTGACGGTATTTTGTCTCGGTAGTCTTTCTGTGTCGGTCGGACTAATGTTTGAAGTGTTGCTAACCCTTATTATGTCTCAAATTCTTGCAACACAGTAAAGCTATTATGGTAGTAGCCGTGTACTTGTTTGCATGGTTTATTATTAGAAATAACAGATAGGGTTTTAAACTACGTTCCTGTACCGAAGTAAATGAGATGAAAATTTCACTCGCGAGATTTATTTTATCTGTCGTATATTGTTATATCGACAAAAAGTTCTTAAGTTCACTTGGGAAGCACCAGACAAGAAAAAATGTGATGCACCTGTGCAAACACATTTATATCAGATTTTAATTTTACGTCCTTATGAATAGAATGAAACCAATTAGATTGAAATAATCTTTATCAGTCATTTCGTCCATAAAAAATTAATTACTTCTTCATATATAGGACAGAATTAGAAGAGCAGGGATAGAAGTTTTGAAACGGTCTGCAAAATATAAGTACTATTATTTTAAGAAAAAATTGTAGAGAAAAATTTCTAATAAATGCAAACATTTGGCAAAGATTGGCTCTAATTATTACCGCATTAATAGGATTGGTCACTTTTGTAATTCATGTGATTTAATAACAAAAGTTTTAAGACAAATTGACAGCCCACTTCTCTGCTGATGGAAGGAAAGACAACTGTTCATTAATATCTTCACAAAAGTGTGTCCATTATTTTAAAATATTTTGATATACTGACTTGTTCAGAATTTCATTACGGCCGCAGGGACCCAATCGAAACCGCCACCAACGTAACACTCCTCTGCCTTTACTGACTTTTCAAATGCAGGGCGAATATTTTATTTAAAATTCCAGTCAAATAACATTTCTATTCGTATAACTCATTTTTTTGAGCAATTTATTTTCCTCAAATATACAGTTAACTCATTATTGTAACATTCATGTGAGCTTCAGTGATTCATGTCGTGGAGCTACCAAGTCGCTTAACGGATCAATACTTGAGCTGCGTTGAAGTCTCTCGAACCATAACAAAAAATTTCACCTTGAAATTATGCATCTATTATAAGTATCTATTCTGTCTATAAAATTCATTAAAGCTGATGGTATTATTTTGCGCATAATTCGCTGTATATTCGAAAGTTATTCACGAATTTGGACAGAAAGTCAGCAATTAGGCTATTAGAGTAAAATAATGGATTATATTGAAAAAAATGCAAAAAATTATATTGACTTCTCTTATCTACTACCGGTACTGTATATTTTTAGATAGAAGTAGGCTAATATCATTTTGAGGGATTTCGTTCTCAGTTTAAAGGGTTTGTATGCCAGACAGAACCGACAATTTTAAATCTCCAAACTCGTAAATATTTCATGACGGTGTAGAGTTGAAAGGCTCCAAATTACGTTAAGATCTTGCTTGTCATTTTGTCGGTGTAATGGTTTCATGAACTTTGTTAGGAGAGGGTGCCGTGTTTTTAAGCCTCAAAAACATGTTTGAACGAAACAGTAATATGAATGTATATAGCGTTGAACAATGATGTATTAATAAAACGTGATAAAATTGTCTTAAAGTAAAAATTTCGCATCACGTTGATAGTTGTCGCTCAACTTCAGGATGTTGGAATTTCCAGGCATTTGTTGCTCAATTCCGTGAATGAACTTGAAGCTTAACATCACTAGGCAGATTCATCGCAAAGATATAGAAGCACTCTGGCAATGTCAAGATTTGTAGAGCCAACTCCGTATTATTCTGTAGCTTTGTTTGCTGCATGCCTTCTTTGACCTATGATGCTTTTAAAAAGTATTTGCTCATCGTCAATGTGCTGATTTCCATATCCACTGACTTGTTCCGTAGTCTCTTTCCTCCAAAGCAAGTACGGTTGCATGTCAAATTTTTCTTGCCGGTAATAAATTAATGAAAATGTTACCAGGAAACATGCAGCCAGCATGCAAGTGTGTGCGCCAACTTCGCGAGAGCGGCACTGCATATTTTTGACACCACAAAGATGGAAGTCTCCATCGCTTCCCAGCATACGCCGGCAATTATGTTGGGCGCGCAGTTTGATCAGTATCATGTTGTAGTACAGAACCCCTTGCAGACTTTTTAAAGGCGGTCACACCACGGCAAGGTCATGACAGACTCCCGCTGACTTGACAGCAATGCCCGCTTCCCTGTCTCCCTCGCCCTTTTTCTCTTCCAGCCTGACTAATTTGCTACCTTCTTTCGACGGTACCTAAACACCGTCGTTTATTGTCGTGAATGCATTTCTGAATTACGACACCATATTGGAACTTCATGCATGGCTGAGGTCTGGTGTGGTAGAGGCATTGCCGCGATGATGAAGTTGTTCGGCTGATTCTTTTTCCTGCGCATTATGTATAGGAAGCAGACATGCGTTCCGCGCATAAACAATGGCGTTTCAAAATGTTAACAGATGTTCTCACTAATTTCCGATGAGTTTTGAATCGTTACTTTTTGATAACTCATTAATTAGCTTATTTTTTTATAATCGAAACTACCATTATCCAATTGTGAAAAATCTTGAAATATTCAGGTTACCTTCAGTTGAAGTAAAATGAGGAGAGTACTAGTGAAAAACATGCACCTGTGCTTTTTACTTTGAAAAATTAAGCGAGGTTCGAATTCACATGGACGTTTAACGTCATTTATTGTGAGAGGAATGTTGTTGAATATCCGTTCAGTGTATTTAAATCGAAGCTGATATTACCCTATGTAGCGTAGTCTAAAAATTTCATTCTGACAAGAAATACTCGTTTTAGCTACAGTGTTAATTTTTTACAGTTAAAAAAATGTTTCTCTGCATGCATATCAAAAGATTTCAAACTCTGATGATGTTTGCAGACGGAAAATAGGCGTCCTAATTTAAGGTGCCGTCAAAGTCTCAAGAATTTGTCATTGCCACTCAAGACATTGATTCGCATTTCTCATTTTTCGACTTCGATCGCTCACTGAAGAACCCCGAAGTAAATACAGACTTCTAAGTCTGACGGAAGACTGCCTGACATCTCCTACATGCACTTGTTAAATTCTTTTAAATAATATTTACAGAACATGCTTTCTATAGGATATTCGTAACCAGTTGCAGAGTTTACATACTGATTAATAACTGTGGCTTAGACCCTTTGCTTCTGCATGTTGTTTGATCTTTTTAGCACTGTGTGTGTACTTTTTTAGAACATTTTTGCTTTTATGATATGATTATCTAATATCAAATATAATTTTGATTTTTCATCAAACTATTGAAATTTTACACTCAGAGCGACAGACGTTTATACGTTGGAAAGCAAGGACTTCTATCGGGTGCAAAGAAGCTGAGGTGAATGCGGCTCATGTTTGCTCAGATGATTTGGAGTTTCGCTAGGCTTGGTTTTGTGTGCGCGAAACCCCCAGTTTGCTCTTGATTCCTGAGATTAAAAAGTTTGAGTCCTCAAGGTGGCGGCATCGGCATGCATAATTTCCACACTTCAGATAGGAAAGTATTTCCATTGATCAGCGTTTGCGTCAAGAGTTGTAGTGAATGGCACAATTTCATCCAGTAATAATTTGTGTGTATAGTTTGATGGATCGTTGAACGGGATTTCATGTATCCTCGATTATCATAAAATAAATGTTATTGGATCATTTTTGATGTTTTCATCATTGAATGCATATTTTTGCTCTAATATTTGGCATGAATCGCGAATAAATTATTCCGTCTATCTTTCAGATGGTGTTCGGGGCGCCCGCGAGCTGACCGACCTTCTTCGAAAAATCGGCTGGTCAAGTCAATTTCACCGCAACTACTGTATCAATTTTTTAAACTTCATTAAATGTTAAGCTGCAGTGAAATGAAAAACAAATAAGGCATATATTCATCTAGTTTCAATATTTGTCAGTACATTATTCATCAGTGCGACTGAAGTCATCAGACTGAAGTCACTAGTTAAGGTGTGGAAGTTGTGTAACTGTCGTTGATTAGTGTACATAACCACGGAATTATCAGTTGCAATTTCTCATCACTATTATTTTCATCACTATTAAAGCAAATCACTCCACTATGCACGTGTAAATTTAAAAAGTGAATTTGAATTGATAATTTGAATTACAATATTCCTGACGAAAATCTAATTTAACGTATTAATGGAACGAATTGACTATGCTAGCTAAGACTGTAAAAAATTTGATATTTAGTCTCGTAAATAATACAGAAATCAGCTATACCTAGGATGCGCGACCACTGCCTTCGATATTACAATAATAGTGAAAATGTGTGACCGCTGCTGCGCAGTGGCAGGAGCCTCGGTCTCTGGGACTCCTCCAGTCACGGCATCTGAACCGCCGGAACGGACCTCAAGTTACCGGAAAAGTCAGAAGCGGAGCGGCCTGAATGAACGGTTTCGTCACAAATTTGATAAATGCTCAGTGAAAAATGCAAGTGAGAGGCGTGGCTCTCATAGAACTCAAATATATATGACGTTAATACATTTGTTGTTGATTAGTTTGTTGCCAGTCAGTCGCAGTGAGTATGTCAGGGAATTTCAAGTGTCAGAGAGTGCAGCTATCGGAACGAGCATTGGCATGATTGGTTCCGCGAATCCAGGGCAACCATCGCCACCCCAACCTCCTTATAACATAGTTGCCTTGTCGGACAGCAAAGTCGACTTGGATTTGCATATTGAAGAAAGTACCGGAGAAATTAAAACCAAGAGGACGCTAGACCACGAGGCTCGAGATACTTATTCTTTCATAGCCTTCCCTCAACACGGCGAGAACGTCGAAAACATCCGAGTGCTACTGCGAGTACAGGATGAAAACGATAACGCTCCTACTTTTCCCATATCGGTTATGAATATTCAGTTTCCCGAAAACACTGCTCGGGACGTAAAAAGGCCGCTGGAGGCGGCAATTGACCGAGACACTGGAATATACAACACCCAGCGTTACGCGATCGTGTCTGGAAACACTAACAACGAATTCAGGCTTTCGTCTCAGAGGCTTCATAATGGAGTTCTCTTTTTGGACCTTCAAATTAATGGGTTTTTGGATCGGGAGACCACACAGTATTATTCTTTGTTGATAGAAGCCTGGGATGGCGGTACACCACCACTCAAGGGATCAATGATTGTAAACATCACCATTCAGGACATGAATGACAATCAACCCATTTTCATACAAAGCCGATATTTTGCAACTGTTCCTGAGAATGCTACAATTGGTACATCAGTGCTCGAAGTTTTGGCTACGGACACGGATGCTGGAGAGAATGGCCGCATTTCCTACTCTATCAATCGTCGACAAAGTGACCGAGAAAACATGTTCCAAATCAACCCAAAAACAGGCGTTATCTCGGTGAACCGACCCTTGGATTTTGAAACTAAGGAGGTTCACGAGTTAGTGGTTGTTGCACGAGATAATGGTGAACAGCCTCTGGAAACAAGTGCGTTCGTGTCTATTAGAGTGATCGACGTCAATGATAACCAACCAACTATAAATTTGATATTTCTCTCTGATGATGCCACTCCCAAGATCTCTGAGGATGCTCAGCCTGGTGAATTTGTCGCTCGAATATCAGTGAATGATCCAGATTCCAAAGAAGAATACCCAAATGTGAACGTGACATTAGAAGGTGGTGAAGGTCACTTTGGTCTCACGACGCACGACAATATCATTTATCTCATGATTGTTTCTCGCCCTCTAGACCGCGAACTTAAACCAAATTACAGCTTAGTCGTGAGTGCAACCGACCAGGGCAACCCTCCTCTTCACGCGTCGCGTCAGTTCGACCTGCAAGTGACCGACCTCAACGACAACGCACCTGAATTCGACCAGACTGTTTACTCAGCATACGTTTTGGAAGTGGCAGACCCTGGAACCTCAGTATTCCAACTCTCCGCATCGGATCGAGACGAGGGCAATAACTCTGCCATAACGTATTCAATCCGTAACACCCCCGAGACTCATTCAGATTGGTTTCAAATCGATTCTCGGACTGGGTTGATAACGACTCGCAGTCATGTGGACTGTGAGACTGAACCTGTCCCTCAAATAACGGTCATAGCGACTGATTCAGGATCACCGGCCCAATCCTCGTCTGCTACCGTCAGAGTGACAATTAGAGACGTGAACGACAACGAACCTATATTCGATCAGAGTTTCTACAACGTGTCTGTGCAAGAGTCAGAGCCTGTCGGGAACTGCATACTAAAGGTTAGTGCACAAATTTATCTTACAAGTTTTACTCAATTTAAAATATTGTAAGCATGATACTTGTTTTCTTTGGAGGATGTAAACATATTTAATGGATCTTACTTTTTCCAAATTTGAGATTGTATTGTCGCACACTGTATTTGCTCCTGAGCTCTGCGTTACGTCCAACGAATAGTACAATTGTTGTTGCAAGTAAGTGGTAGCTAGGATGATTCACGACCGAGGCGCATCCAATCAATACAACATGGCCATTGTCACCGAAGCATACTAATTTTATAGCGCTCTGTTGTGACTTATTCCAATCACTCAAGAGCACCAAAAACGCTCAACACATTTGGATTGTTCATGGGTATCCCTCTGAGGAATTATGGTTGTTGTACTCTGAGGTAAATGAACGAATATTTCTCAGTGTCCACTAATTGATATTTTTCAGTCAAAAAATTTAAATAATTTGTAAACGCTATCTTTAATTCAGAGATACTCTGAACCTATCGAAGAAGATCCAGAGGCTGAACTGCAAGTACATTGGATCGAAATTTCAATCATTATTATTGTGCATTCTCCTGCGGATGCTTAATTAGTTACTGACAATACTCAATAACAATTTTTCTGCTCAATTCCAATTAACCGTTTCATTATATTATTGAATAGCAATACATTTTATGTCGTTGCTTATAGACCTACTGCGTGTATTGCTCTTGTACGTTCGCAGTGGGAAGAAGTTCACGGAAAGAGACTAAGACAAATTTAACCTGATTAAAGGTTTGCGTTTTCGTATACGTCAAAATATGGCTTACTTGGAATGCATCATTCAAATTAGATCGCATAATAATGTGAACGAATTTTACGGAAATTCCAGTCCGTACTTCACGAAACGCTAAAGTGGATTATTTCGGTAGCTCCTAATTAAATTATTTATTTAAAGAAGTAAAACGTTTTTTGAAACGTTCAAAACATTTTATAGGAAGTGGTAGTAACTAGTAAGCTAAGGCTACCGCCACTAGATGCGCAGCGCTCGCTATAAGGCCTTGTTCGGTCGCGCAGAGTTGGTAGCGCCACCTGCCGTCCAGCCATGCAGGACGGGTGTGATTTGGGCGGCGCCTAGTTGGGCATCAGAGCAAAGTTTTGCTGGGATCTCTGCTGACGTTCGTACACAGAAGCAGCGATTTCTAATCCCATATTTTGCGGAGACTTGAACATGAAATGCTACACGTGTCCGCTTGTTTATTGGTCTCTATTTTGTTACCAGAACTAAATAAAATTACAGCTGAGGGCCCTTGATTCGCTCAGAACGTGAAAGTTTAATTTATTGCCAGGGCAGTTGCTGCATGTGAAGATAGATTACAAATTAGGGCATGGGCTTGATGCAACTACTGAACAATGTACTGATGCACTCAGCTACAAATATTAACACTGCTTATTTGATCTGCAACGAGACTAAATATGCGTTTTGTGGAATAATTCCTTAAAAGAATGTGTGAAGTATAAAATGCTCGCACTTTTTAAAATTTAGCCTGGGATATAATTAGATACAATTATACTTTAAATTAATGTCACTCGTTGGCTTGCATCAATTTCAATTGTCCGCTGATCTAGTCACAATATTGTAATCGATTTGTGTTCAAATAATTCACCACGAATATACGTGTGGAAATTCCGAAATTAACTCATTAAGAAGAGTACATAGAAGCTGGCAAGTCCAAATTTCAGGTTAAGTCTTACAATATTTGGCGGTTATCTGTTAAAAGTGATCCAACATTTAATTCATTTTAAATTGTGTTACTTCGGTATTTTGTCATAGTACCTCAGAAATTACGCTCTGTATAAATTGTACTATTTTCTAATTACTATTTAAATCCTGTGTATAATAATTTAGAATGGTTAAAAAAATCACTGCTTGAAAATTGTTTTAAGAATCAAACGGGCTCACCATTCTATAAATGTTATATTACATAGCATTTATTAATTTTACTCTTTGTTATTTTTTTTCTCCGCGCGATCATGCAGGGGCTTAATTGGCTCACTATAGACACCGTCTAGATTTCTTGATTTATTCGCCCTCGACACTGTCTGTGGATGCTCATATAAAGTAGTTTTTGTTTTATCTTATCAAATTAAGAAAATAACGGCAAAATGTAAATTTCCTTTTTGAATATGAAGTGCGTATTTCAAATTTAATTAAAGAGTTTTATATGTAACTTAAATTGTATATTGAGGTACATCTCATCTGAGGTACGTTTTTGATACAATTGTTCCTGCAGCTTGATTATCACTGTATAGGTTTTAACTGGGAAATAGAGATGTAAACACTCAATTAACGCAACGTAAACCAATATTCCGTAGAAAATAGCAATCAATAAAAAAATTGGAAGCTAGGAATTTTCAACATATAGAAATGATACGATTGTGGATAAACTATAATTCCGTTGCATGTGTAATAACATAGATATAATCATTACGCATTCTTTAATGCATTTTAAGATATTATTCACATCGAATTTTGTCAGTGCGTGTAACTGAAAACTTCAATCAATTATATTACTTATCAGGCAATCAAGAAGTACATCATCTATAAATAATGTACAAAATGAATCGCATGCGAAAAATATGGTACGGAGGAAACAAAATTTTTCCTCAGATGTGTCACCAATCACCAAAATCGAGCATATAGGAGCACGAAAAAAGTTAGGTCTTGTGACTTGATTAGAAGGTTTGACATAAAATTTTTCATCAAATAATGTTTTAACATGAACAGGAAACACCATTTAATCCAGCTGTAGAGTGTAGACAGCAGATCGAATGGTAACAAAAAATCTATAGGAAGAAAACAAAAGACATTGTCATGATAAACCTATATGTTAAAATGAATTCATTTTACTTGAATGCTTTGCTGGACTTGATAGCTTAAAGAATTTGTCATTGTTTTCTCCCATTGTATAGTTCCCTAATCACACACATGTTTCGTCGTATTGCCTCAAAGTAGTTGCACGGCCATGTGAGCGCAAAGTCCTTACGTTAAGGGAACCAAGGCGCAACGCTGCAGGTGCGGTTCTGTATTTCCCCGGTTGTATAATATCAAATATGTAGTTTCGAAATAAAAATTTCCCGGTGTGAAGCATATGAAAATAGTCATAAACACGCATATAGAGGCACATCAGAGTCAATAATATGCAGATGGAAGCTTTCTCCGACTTGTGATATTGTGCAAAGGTGCTCGTAATCTTGGCAAGCATCAGCCGCGCTGTCACCCGCGCATCAGATGTCCATGTCAGGCATCTCGCGCGCGCTGGTGTTGCATGGCAAGCATTGTTGAGGGCGCGCGTGGTGTGCGTCATGTGCATGAATGGTGCGTACGCGTTTGTTGTGCCGTCACGTGATGGTTGTAACACCGGTACCTGTGCTGACATTCAAGATGATAAATATATATAAATTATACGTAATCTTTTGTGGTCCGATGCTCCGAAATATGGAATGAGACGTTATTCTCTATTAATAAAATGCTGAGGAGTTGAAAAACATTGACACATATTTATCAGTAAGAGAAAGGAAAACGAAACTTTTTCGTAATTATCGTGTAGTGTGAGTTTATTATATTTAGATGGTGCTATTAATAATCTCTGTCAAAACGAACGGCTTATATAAGAGTGCAATGCGGCAAACTTTGCTAGTGGCTCCTACATATTAATTGTGTAGTCATCTCAATTTAATTATCTGTTAACTTAGTGCTTGTCGTATTCTAGTACCATATTTCTTGCTTCATTGTTCATCTTATTCGCTTTGGCCTTTCGCGACTTTGTGTCTAAAAATCCAATTGAAGCTTCAAGGTAAAATTATATTCTATGAAGCAATTTTTCTGCAACTGGAACATATTCTTCCATAGACTTTTAATCCTCGTTATTATCTTGAGACGGATAGAATCTCTTTCCCTTAATTTTTTCTTAATATTATATATGGTTATTTCTCATTGGCATTTATAAATTCTATATCCTTTCCTTGGCGAGGTTTGCGGACCTAAAGAACCGCTATAATGCGTCGCTCCGAGTTTGTTTTGCTGGAAGAATAGATAAGCTCGTCCATGGGCATGAAAGCTCGCATGCATCTTCATCGAATGCAGCATATTTTGTAGCTGGCTAGGAGCCGCTGGCTCACTCGCAATTAATAGCTGCAGCAGATAAAGATTCTGCTGCTGCCATGCTGATGCATCTGCTACATTTACTCGGACAACGCAACTGCATGTGGCTGCTTTCTATACACGTCAATTCTACGAGCTCATGTGTTGCTCGGTTTATAGTCTGCACATTCACAAAGCGTGGACCAACTCTCACGGTGAGCAGTGAGCAGCAACTTTCCTACACAACATAGGCCGGGTTATCTGGACACTACTGCGTAAGATATTAAGGCTGGCACACGGAACAAACATGCTACAGAAAATTATTTCATTTTACAGTTTTGCACCTTTATTTTTTATCGCGCCGCATAAAGTCTCCATGAATTTTGTAAAGTATATAATGAGACCCCAGATATACACCGGACACGTGTTTTTTATTGTCTCTGCAGGTATTAACATGGGTATCGATTTTTTGTTAATTTTGTATTTGAATGAAAATTTTCCACTTTAATTGAATCTGTAGAATGATCGAGCAGCTTTATGGAATATCCAGTTCATGTTTCATTGCAAACATGTCGTTAAAACTTCAAATCGTTAGTAAAAACATAATTTTTCACGAACTATTAATTATGACTATCCAACCATTAAGATACAACGATTTGAAATATATATTCCCCAGACTTGAAATCAGCTTGCTTTCTCAAATCGGCGAACTTGCCAGGTATGCGTAGACGGAAGTGCAGAAGACGATTTTTCTTCTCGATGTTGGTTGCACTCTTTGAAGGCGTTTGTGACGAGACGACATGTGCACAAACTGGACCTAAAATGAAGCTAAGATCTTGCATTAATTTTCAACGTCAACTGCTGCGTCGAAAGCCTAGATTGCTTCACC